AATATGGAGCTCGTCATATGGCAGCCGACAAAAAAGGCACTCGGCAAACCGCGAGTCGATTTTTTCCCGGACATCATCACGGGCAGGGCATAGCGTGCCTGTCGGAACCAAACGCAAGACTCCGTCCGCATGCCGGCGCCACCCTGTGCACCCAGAGCGATGCCCCCCGGTCCAGGATCGTTCAGATTTCATACATTCCGTGACGACATGCCATCAACAGTCTGTGTCATTCTGTGGGTCATTCTGTGCGCGACCTGTCATTCCGTGACGACATGTCATCAACGTCTCATCAACAGCGTGACGCCGGACCGCACCCACGGACACCGTGCACACGCGGGTGCGGTCCGGGCCCGAGCCTCTGTCGCTGTGTCGGGGCGGTGACACTCGCCTGGCTCGGATGCGACGCCGCACCATCAGCACGTGACTCGGAAACAGCGCCATCTGGCCACCGGTGACACGTGGCCGCGGAAGCACACCAGGCCAGCTGGTTAGCGTCCGGAGCGTGGCTTCAGCCCAGACTTCAGCCCAGACAGACAAGTGATGGCGTCTATCACTTGATGGTGATGTCACACAATCAACTTAACTATTATTAATAAACTAGTTCATGTTGTTATACTATATTAATTGTTATACTGTGCTTAACGTCGTACGATATACTACTACGGTATAATTAGTTCCTGTCTACATTACATATTTTATATCATTAAACTATATTAATTTCGCCTCAGTAGCTTCTCATTAGAAATATTCCTCTTCGGTAACATTTCCACCGGGTGCCGGCTCCTGGTTCCTTGCTCCGGGACCAGGAAGAATTTGGGAATTAGTTTGGAATCAAGACGGATATCCATGAAGAACTAGGACCCAGTACGGAACTGCGGCCAAGGAGCCGGCAATGACAAGGATCCAGCTTGACACTACGCCAATAGATCCGGCAGGAACCTAGATTCGGCAGCAACCTAGATCCGACAGGAACCTAGATCTTGGCAGGAGTCGAGACCTGGCAGGAACCTAGATCCGGCAGGAACCTAAATCTGACACTAGCCGAGACCCCGGCAGCATCCTAGATCCGGCAGGAACCTAGATCTAGCAGGAGCCGAGATCTGGCAGGAACCTAGATCTGGCTTACATGTGTTCAGTGATCCATCATGAGTCACAGCCAAGGCTGGGATCATGCTCAAGATCCAATGAGAGCCGAGTTTCAGTATAAAGTCAAGGGAACAGTAAGAACCAGGATCTTACCTGGAGTTCTGGCAAGGATCTAGCGTGCATCCAACGCTAAGACATGTGAAGTGCTGGGATTGAACACAAGAAAGTGAACATACGCAGCATTTTTACCTTTCCTTTCGTTTCATGAAAGTGCATGACGAAGCACGGCACGATTGGGCCGCACCCGTAGCGTGCCGGTGTGGCCAGCTCGACAGTGAGCTCGGCTCAGCCTGTAATGATGCAGCCGCCTTCTCCACCTGCCTCAGACTCGCGCCTGTACCACCATTGTACCAGTGCCATCTTTGTACCAGTGGCACCTGCAGCCGCCCGCACCAGCACGCCTCGGCCAGGTTCGCGTGCACGCTCCGAGCGCCGCCACTCGGCCGGCGCTGACCAGCGATGATGGTCCTCTGCCAGCAGGCTGAGCAGCCTCGCCGGGCGCTGTGACGGCCGGCGCTGACCAGTAATGATGGTCCTCTGCCAGCAGGCTGAGCAGCCTCGCCGGGCGCTGTGACGGCCGGCGCCGACCAGTGTGATGGGCCTGCGCCACCAGGTTGAATTACCCCGCCCGGCGCTGTTACGTAAGGTGGACAGATAAACATCTGGGCCAACCGACCGAGGCTGGCCTGCTGGGAGAGGACACTGCTGGCCCTCACTGGATGAGCGCGCCGCACCTGCTGCGCACACAGGTGTTCTATCCCAAAATGTTTCAAAATCGCATCGGTAAAACATTCAACAAGTCTTCCATGAAGTTTTTTAGGTGCCGCACGGAGTCTTCCACATTTGTAAGTTGTTTCTATTTAAACCGCACTGTTCACTACAAACACAATAATCCACAGAATTGAGCAAGTTATCCAAAAACTCATATGTGGCACATCAAAACCCTTCCTATACTATTCCAGTGTCATCACAAGGCAAATTCCACGCAATTATTGCACTTCTCCGGCAGTGTCAACTAAAACACCTTGTCAATGTAACACCTTCCTTCTCTGGCGCCACGCCATGAATACGTCAGTACTAGGTAACCGAATGTCTATTTGCTTTGACGCCATGCAATATGCATGTCTCCTGGTGCAACGCCATGCGTGGAATCAATATACACGTCATATGTAACGTGACGCCATACGATATGTATGGCTGAGAAACCTGACGCCGCCCCACTTGGGCGCCATACAACATGTATGTCGGCCTGTGCTACGATATGCTGCACGACATAAACCATTCCAAAAAACATTCAGAAGCGATGCTCAAAGGAACGCGGAATAGTGCGGCACCTGTCCGCAAAAACAAAACAGTCTGAGTGTTCACTATACGCCTGCACTATTCACCAAACAGCTCATTCGCTGCTGAGGGAACATTTCATGTCCGTGGTGAGCTCATGTTTGTTTGTTTGTTAACTCATTCTGCACTTCCAGGGGGTGCAGGCCACGTTATAAATCATCGGACTATTTAGATAAAGAGTCTAGTAGTCTGCGGGCTGCCATGGGCAAGCCGCTAATGATGCCTCAGCTGCATTCATTTCGACCAAACAGTCCAATGCTACAGCGAACGGTACTCAGAAATGGCCGCTTCCTCTAGGCCACCTGATCCTAGCGGTCTATCACGCTCAGATAACCTGACTACCCTTGGCAACACTTCAGCAGCGCCCGGACACCACCCCTCCTCCACCACAGGACTGCTGCGGAGCTTGCCATCACGCTTCCTCCCCCCACACAGAATACCGCGGGTGCCGGACGTCACCATTTCTCCACCACATAGACTACCGCAGGGCCTAACACTACCCCCGTCCCCCATCACACAGACTACCGCGGAGCCTGACACAGCCCCTCCCCCACAACAACACAGACTACCGAGGGCCTGACATCACCGCTTCTCCACCGCGAAGTCTGCGTCCGCGCCGGCGTCGTCGGCCCTGCCTCCAGCCGTCGCACCACCGCCAGCGAGTACTCGTAGCCGAGGAAGGTGACGGCGTTCACGAGGAACGCCCTGCCGGCCATGACGCCGAAGCCGGCGAGCAGAGCGCCGGGACCGTCCCGCAGCACGGTCATCTGCGCGCAATGCAGCATGCCGCGGTACTGCGGCCGCGCTGGGTCGTCCGCCTGCAGCTTGCTCTTCAGCACGTCCAGCGGCAGAATCGAGGTCCAGGCGCCGACGCCGGCGACGCCGCCGGCCAGCAGGGCGGCGCTGGTGCGCGAGAGGCGCGCGCGCCGGCGAGCCTCCCAGCTTCAGCTTCTCGTACAGCGCGATGTAAAGGCCGAACGAACCGACGTCTCGCGCGGCCATGGCGCCGGTGCCGCGGTACCAGGCGCGCACGCCACCGCGCGGTACAGCGCTGCCAGGCAAGCGAGCGGGCCGCGCGCCGGCGTGCGGGTAGTGCGCGCGCCAGCCGGCGCCGCCGGTCACGCTCGTCTGCAGCTGGATCTTCACCAGGTCGACGGGCACGGCGACCACCAGCTGCGCCAGGCCGCCGACGCAGCCGGCGACGAACACGCGGCCGTAGGCGGGCCGGCCGGCGTCGTCGCGCGCGCCCAGCGCCCAGTCTAGCACTCGCAGCGAGTTCGAATACACGCCGAAGTAGAGCGCGTTCAACGCCCCGTTCGCCGCCAGCGGAAACGACATGCCCTTGAGGAGGCCGCGCGCGCCTTCGTGGCGGAACGTGTCGCGCACGGCGGCGGTGGCGCTGATGCCGAGCGTCTGCTGCAGGACCTTGACCGTGTCGGCCGGGTGGCCGACAAGCACGCCGGCCGCGCCGCCCAGGCTGCCAGCCGCAAACTCGTGCCAGAAGCTGGCGGCCATGCGGCCGGCCGGCGGCGCCCGGCGCGGAGTCCGTACAGCGGCGTCAGCAGGCTGCGCTGGAGTACCGGTGGGAGACCGGCAGTGGAGCTGCGCTGGAGCACCGACAGGAGGGGAGAGATGCGCTGGAGCACCGGCAGGAGACCGGCAGTGGAGCTGCGCTGGAGCACCGACAGGAGAGGAGAGATGCGCTGGAGCACCGGCAGGAGACCGGCAGTGGAGCTGCGCTGGAGCACCGACAGGAGAGGAGAGATGCGCTGGACCACCGGCACGCTCTCCGACGAGGCGTTCTTGTTCTCCGGCTCTCACGTTCTTCGGATCTCGCGTTCTCCGGATCTCGCGTTCTCCGGATCTCGCGTTCTCCGGTTCTCGCGTTCTCCGGGTATCGCGTTCCCCAGCGCGTGGCGCGATGGAACGGCGGGCTGCGCCGGAGTGCGGCGGGACCCTCGGCGGAGCTCACTCAATGATGCTGGGGTGTCACACCGTTGTTACACCGCTGTTACACTGCGCCACCCTGTCACCCCGTCACCCCGGTACACAGCCCTGAATGAAGGCAGCCACCGGCAGACCCCGCCGTCATCACCACACTCGGCCAACTGACGAGAGTTTACGGCAGTAAACACGTCCGTGCCGACCTCGCCCGTGGTAGCCATCAGAGCAGCGGATGCCTATCGCGTCTGGCAAGGCTCGTAAGAACAAGGGCTGGCCTGCGCTGTAGGCAGATGACCTCACATGAAAAAAATGTCGAGCATGGTGGTCGTGTGGGAGGAGGTGGAGTGACATGAAACACACTCTGAGTTCGGCGGATTCGAGGTCAAATACCGCTAAACGAAACCAAGCTCAGAACATTTTTTTATGCGCACTAGTACCACTAGTGCTATACCGGTTTAAGTTACTAAAGCGATAATGCTCAGGATGGCTCAGCAACCTTGAAAACCAGAACTACTTTTTAAAGTTTTAGACAAGCCGTGCAGAGAAACCTAAAAAGTTATACGTGCCGTCCGGTAAAAAAAAAATGTGGCAAAACACCACCAGCGGATAGTATTACGACATTCGCAGGAGAATGATAGTAACGGGACCAGGAGCATCTGTGTACCGCGTTTATTCGCAACACATTTAGTCCAATGCAAAGTGTCGTACATAAACCTTCGTGCCACAGTTCTTAGTTATTAAAACGTCCTACGCAAATGGTCATTTCAAATTATTGTATCGCAAATTGTCATGCGGCATTGTTCGTTTAGGAATCTTTGTATTGTTACTTCTCGCGCACAAATAGTCGCACTTAAACATTGGCATTTGTAAAAAAGTTGCTCAATAGGCCTTCGTATCTTCAAAACTTAGCACGTGCGATTCTTTACATTCTTTTCCAGCATAAGCCTTTGCCTGAGTCCCATTCCTTGGTACATCATACACATGTCATTTGCACCACAGTTATGCATGCGCACAATATGTGCACAATGCTTAGTATTTCATTTCGTCGCGTACGCGATTCTTGTCATCGCATGCATCTGTGTTCGCGATTCATCGCATCACATTCTTTCGCACTCTACTCCTCCGTGTACACGTTTTTTTGCATTTTTCGCAAAACACATTTTAGGTCGCACGCAATTCTTTGCATGAAACAGCTTGTACTTAAAAGAAAAATGTCAGCATTTTCTGACCCTTCTCGTTATTCTGCTCTTCGTTCCACTTCAGATTCTTTCGCTGTTCCTCATCTATACGATCCGTTGTTAAAGGTGTCGTTCTATCAACACACCGCGTTTATTATAGTTGCGTCCAAGCATGACACAGCATAGCTGGCAATGACATGACACCTAGTGGTTGACACCTAGTCATTCATTGATGCTAACGGCATCGGTGCGCCTATGCGTGGACAAGTAAGGAAATGTAGATAAATGTAAATAGAACAAAAAGTATTCCTACATACTGGTTCCCATTGGTTTCTTCAATAAAGTAAGGCTTTGGAAACTGTCTTCCACCGGTTCTTTCGACAAAATATATCCCGGATTTATGTTCCCACCGGTTCTTTCCACCAAACAATACCCTGGATTTTGCACCCCATTAGCTCCTTAGCAGACCATGAGCCCGTTTCCTGGGTCTCATCGGTTATTTCAAGCACATTAGACGTTGGACATTGATTCTCAGTGTTTTTCACAAACGTAGGTTCCCGATTCCTGATTCGCAGCCACACGTTCAACACAGATCGTTTTCACACAGTTGACGCCACTAAGCATATAACTCGCGAGACCTGCAGCGACTGAACCGCAAGACCGCATTGAAGACAACACCACACCGACTGCAAAAGAGCGCGGAAAAAATAAGACGAATACGGGGGTTCTGATGGATTCAGAGGTACAACAGGCGGTTGTGTGAACTGCACGACTGTGTATACACGACTGCGGTTGTTGGCAGTTGCGTGAACGATGATGGCGATCCAGCCTCACAAATGAATGCTCAGGGGGCTCCTGGCTATTCGGAAAACCACCGAATACAGCTGCGTTTGAGCCCCGACCAAGAGTGTCGCTTTATATAAATTCAGGGGGGGGGGGGGGGGGCTAAGCCCACTCATGCTGACTTGAGCCCACCAAGCCTCCTCTGAACCCCTTCAAAGCATGCGAGCAAAAAGAAAATACTGGGCGAAATGAACGCAGTAGAGATACATTAATTATTAGAATGTTAAGTGCACAAACGCATCGGTATCAGCCACGTCAATTTTGTATAACATAATATCCTGCTGTTACGTAATGTTTTTGTCTGATGCTAACCCGGACTGACAGAAAGGGAAACGCGTCCAGAGAGGAACGGATCACGAAGGGCAAAAGCTCCGCTGTCGGGATGTACAGTATGTTGCCCTTGGGCGGCTCTTCATATGCATATTCAAGGAGGGCGTTGACGTCCTTCTGAGCTCTGTGCGTCCCTCTGACCTCAGTGAACTCGTAAATACCAGACAGCGACGGCTGACCTATGACATAAGCGCAACACGGTCCACCATAAACACCGTAAGAACAGACTATAAACAAACACAATCATCACAGAATACCAGACGTATGTACTCTGCAACTGCACATGTATGAGCCACCTGGCGGAGACCCGCTCGTCAGTGTTGACCTCAAACTGCAGCACCAACCCCTCCCCACGCATATCACTCCTGGAGGGTGACGTGTCGCAAGTGTTTCGGTGATGATGCTTTTTTGCCCTTTCTGCATGAAGTATCTGGGGGCACCAGGGCCCCATTGAAGAATCTTTTCGCCGGTGATGCGATACCCCGATTTTAAATGGGGATGTCGGGGGCCGGTCGTTGGGGAGGAGAGGGGTACACCGCACGCAGCGAATGGCGCGGTGTCATGCAACGGGGCCAGGTCATTGAAGCAATAGGTAAAGCCGAGCCGAAGCTTCAGCACGAGCCCTGTGGGATGACGTTTGCCAGCTGGTGTTTTTTAAATGGACGTTTTTTGAACAGCTGACCTACAGAAGAAGCTTAGATCGGGATATTTTAATTGACCAATTCGCCGGATAGAGAATAAGATATGGCGATTTACATCAAACATGTATTTTGAAACTGCAGCCCCTCCGTCAGTTGAACTTGCCGGACGAAGTTTTGGTTCCATACGCTTTCGGCCAGCTGGCGTCTCTCCGATAGCCGTTTTGGAGGTACCTAGCCTGCAGAAAAAGTATGCATTTGATAAGGCTTTAATTGGGAGAATATATATATATATATATATATATATATATATATATATATATATATATATATACATATATATATACATATGTGTGTGTGTGTGTGTTTGTGTGTGTGTGTGTGTGTGTGTGTGTGTGTGTGTGTGTGTGTGTGTGTGTGTGTGTGTGTGTGTGTGTGTGTGTGTGTGTGTGTGTGTGTGTGTGTGTGTGTGTGTGTGTGTGTGTGTGTGTGTGTGTGTGTGTGTGTGTGTGTGTGTGTGTGTGTGTGTGTGTGTGTGTGTGTGTGTGTGTGTGTGTGTGTGTGTGTGTGTGTGTGTGTGTGTGTGTGTGTGTGTGTGTGTGTGTGTGTGTGTGTGTGTGTATGTGTGTATTCTTTGTAAGAAATAGACTCGAAATTTTTACAGTTCTATGCCAGCAGGCTCGTCAGCCGACGTTTCGTTTACATTTGCGCCGCGGCTGTTTCTTGGGCATCTACGAAATGAAGGGCCGCACCCCAGCTTCACATTACGGAGGTCAAAGTCGGACCGAGTAAACACGCCACGTTGGGAGACGTTTCGTCACTGGAGAATGTCCTGTTAACATGCCGTAGTGGGGTAAAGGGGGATGGTCTGTGCATGTTCCCGTTTCTTCAAAAACCATATCTAAGACACACATACACACACACACACACACACGCGCGCGCATAGTCTGTGCATGTTCCCGTTTCTTCAAAAACCATATCTAAGACACACATACACACACACACGCGCGCGCGCGCGCACGCGCACGCATACACGCATGGACGTACGTAAGCACGCACGCACGCAAGCATGCACGAACGCACACACGATCACAGAACTTGGTGAAACGCCGCTGTGGCTGAGTGGCCATGTGTTTGTGATGGCCAGAAGTATCCCTTGTAGGATTTATTGCCCCACTTTCCAGTTGAAAGTTGACGCCCCCTACCTCGTATGCTACGTCCTACCGTCTTTCCGCCGCTTGGACCAAAGCTACTAGAGTTAAGAGAAAACCGATGAATTGTTATGCAGGCTTTCGGTGCGTGCGTTTGTGTTTGTTTCTGAGCTGCTGAGACTTCATGGACCCATGGAGCACACCGCGCGTTGCCGCCCACGCCACACATGCATTGTAGCTTCAGAACTGATCTCAGTCTGTCGCTATCGTTGAAAGTCGTGCCGCCTTGAAAGTGTCCGAGATGTCACTGAATGCGGGGGGTATCACCCATGTGTTGTTTCGATTTAGAATCATAATCGACTGAAGATCCACCGTTATGCTTCCATATACAAAATCGGGTTATTTTTTGCATGCAGTCCTTGGAAATGGGA